TTTAGTGTTTATATTTTACTGACTTATTGAATATTATTTATTTGTTATGTACCATTTCTTCAGTTTATTATTATTTACATATTTATTTTATTTCTAATTTTTATTTTTTAATTATTTATTTATTTTACTTTCATTCATTATTTATTTTAAAGTTACCTTTGTTTTTATGTATTTGTTTTAATTATTACTTATTTTTTAATTTATTATTTTAAATATATTTTTAGAATTTACATACCATAGAGTTCACCCATTTAACATGTATAATTCAGTGGTTTGTTGTATATTCACATAGCTGTGCAGCCATCGAGAACATCAATTTTAGAAAATGCTTTGCTTCACAGTGAATTAACCTGATTTTATAATTTCCATGTGTTTGGACATGTGGGTGTCTTAGTTTCAGTTTTGCTATAACAGAAACACTACAAGTGGATGGCATTAACAAAGAGAAATTTATTCTCTCACAGTTTAGGAGGCTAGCAACCTGAATTCAGGGTGCCAGCTCCAGGGGAAGGCTTTCTCTTCTCTGTCAGCTCTGGGGGAAGGTCCTTGTCATCAATCTCCCCCAGTCGAGGAGCTTCTCAGCGTAGGGACCCCAGGTCCAAAGGACATGCTATTTTCCTGGTTCTTGTTTCTTGGTGGTATGAGGTTCCCTTGTCTTTCTGCTCACTTCTCTCCTTTATATCTCAAAAGAGATTGACTCAAGATACAACCTAATCTTGTAGATTGAGTCCTGCCTCGTTAACATTAACTGCCTCTACTCCTGCCTCATTAACATCATCAAGGAAGGATTTACAACACATAGGAAAATCACATTAGATGACAAAATGGTGGACAATCACACAATATGGGAATCATGGCCTAGCCAAGTTGACACACATTTTTGGGGACACAATTCAATCCATAACAGTGGGTCTCCATTTTACTATGGCCTGGGTCCCCTCACATGATAGGCATGGGCTCAGCAGACGATACTGCAAAACCAAAGTCCCTGGGGTGGCAACATGCCTGGTGGTGTGTTTGAGAAGCCGCAAGAGAGCCGTGTTCGTGGGGCTTGGCGAGCACAGGGGAGAGTGACAGGAGAGGAGGTCAGAGAGGCTGGCAGCCAGACCACTGGAGAGGCCTGACAGGTGGGGTAGCAGCAGTGGGCATGGTGAAAGCAGGGGAAAGTCAAGAGCAGCTCAAGAGATGTGGTAAGTCTGACGGGTGACGTGGGAGGACGAGGAACAAGAAAGTTGAGCAGCCCCAGCACTCTGGCTAATGTTATACAGACACTGGTCAGGGGCAGGTTGGAGGAACCAGGTAAAGAAATTGGGAGTCAACCCCATTTTGTACAACATTTTCCAGAGTGCATGTGCTGATAGGCAGTTCTGTTGTGCATCTGGGTGCTGCCGGGACCTACATCTGGAGGGATGGGCCCCCCAGGGCCACTGGCTGGCTGGGCCTGGAACTCAGGACTGAGGTCTGGCATGAGGGGTTGGTCTGCAGCTGTTGGGCAGTGGGAGTGTGTGAGGCCTCAGAGGGAGAGAGAAGAGGGTGATGAGAACAACAGCTGATCTTTCCTGAGCATCTCCTCTGTGCCAGGCTCTGTGCTAAGAACTTGGCCTATACAACTCATTGAACCATTGCAGCAACTCTAAGAGGGGATACTCTTACTACCCCATTTTACAAAGGCGACTTCAGCACAGAGAAGTTAAGTAGCTTGCCCAAGGTCATACAGTGAGGAGGTAACAGAGTTGGGATATGAGCCCGTACCCCAAATGTCCCCAGGAAAGAGGGCCCACAGTCAAAATCAAGGAAAGGGTGGGACATCCACATTGCCTTTAGTGGGTTGTTGTTGGGTGCTGCTGAGTCAGTTTTAACTCAAAGCCACCCGATGTGACAGAGTACAACTGCCCCATAGGATTTTCTAGGCTGTAATCTTTACAGGAGCAGTTCACTAGATCTTTTGAATGACCTTTTTGGTTAGCAGTCAAGTGGAGCACCTAACTGTTGTGCCTCCAGGGCTCCTTCCTTTAGTGAGAGGAACCATTAAATATGGTCAAAGGTGTGTACACAAGGAGGGTAAGGAATTGAACCAGTAATTCTATCCACCTTGACAATCCTTTTGATTTTTTTTTTTTTCTTTCAGTGTAGAAAAAGTCAACAAAGTCATCATTCGTGTTCTAGGTTTCTTTGGGATTAAAGCAGGTGGCCGCAGGGCCAATCCAAAGACCTGCAGTCAGTCGCAGGGAAAGTAGTAGTAATGGTAATGGAGGTCAGAAGAGAAGAGGTCTTACCGGGCTCTGCCCTCACAGACATCTGCACATCCAAGGCCCATTCGAGGAACCGGAACGGAAATCCTGCCGAGGACTGGGGAGAACAATCATTTTTCCAGGGAGGAGATTTTAAACCACAGTCATTCCCCAACATGGAAACCCCTAGTGGAGGAAGAGGCTGTGGGGACTGTGAAATTGCGAGAAGCACCAGGATGCCTTCCAGCTCCATCAAACAAGACAGTGTTGCCATGGAAGAGAAAGCCCCTGTGTTAGTTCCACGTGGAGGAAGCTTTGAGCAAGCCCTGGAGCCAGCCGAGTTGCAGGCAGCCTGTGTGAGCGGGAAACCCTGCAGATGCAGCGTGTGCGGGAAGAGCTTCAAGCAGCGCTCGGCCCTCACTGTGCACGAGAGGACTCACACCGGAGAGAAGCCGTACCTGTGCGGCGCATGTGGAAAAGTCTTCCGGTGCAGGTCCAACCTTATCGAGCACCAGAGGATCCACACTGGCGTGAAACCCTACAAATGCAGCGAGTGTGGGAAGGTCTTCATTCAGAACTCCACTCTCACGCTGCACCAGAGGACGCACACCGGCGAGAAGCCTTACAAGTGCAGGGAGTGCGGCAAGGCCTTCCGGGGAAGCTCGGACCTGCGGAAACACGAGCGCATTCACACTGGCGAGAAGCCCTACCAGTGTCAGGAGTGTGGGAAAGCCTTCCGGTGGAGCTCGCCCCTGATCCGCCACCAGAGGATGCACAGCGGCGAGAAGCCGTACCAGTGCATCGAGTGCGGCAAGGCCTTTGGGCAGAGCTCCACCCTCATTGAGCACCATAAGATCCACACAGGTGAGAAGCCCTATGAATGCCTGAACTGCGGCAAGGCGTTCAAGGGCAGCTCGGACCTCAGCCAGCACCAGCGCATCCACACGGGCGAGAGGCCCTACGCGTGTGGCGAGTGTGGACGCACCTTCATGTGGAAGACGGCACTCGTCACCCACCAGAGGACGCACAGTGGGGAGAGGCCCTACGTGTGCGGCCAGTGCGGCAAGGCCTTCGTGCAGAGCTCGCAGCTCAACCAACACCAGCGGAGCCACACGGGTGAGAAGCCCTACGAGTGCCCGGCGTGCGGGAAGGCCTTCAGTGTGAGCGCGTACCTCGTGGAGCACCAGCGGATCCACACGGGCGAGAAGCCCTACTCCTGCCTGGAATGCGGCAAGGCCTTCATTCAGCGCTCACACCTCGCCCAGCACCAACGGATCCACACGGGAGAGAAGCCCTACACCTGTGGCAAGTGTGGCAAGGCCTTCCGATACAGCTCCTACCTGCTCCAGCACCAGAAGCTCCACACCAGGGAATAGCTCTGACGGCCCTCTGCTAGCAATGCCTCACCTCCTGGAGACCAAGGCACCTCACCTCCCACCATCCTTTTGCCACCTCACAGGCTCTTCCCATTTTCCTCTTCTTTGATGGGGATCGCCCCTCTTCCTGGTTCCCTTTCCACTTTCTTTTCTCTTTTTTATGTTTAACATTCTTATTGATACATTATTGACATACCATAAAATTTGCCCTTTTAAAGCGCAATTCATTGGGTTTTAGTATATTCACAGAGGTGTGCAACCATCACCACTATGTAGTTGCAGAACATTTTCATCACCCTGACAAGAAATCTTGTGCCCATCAGCAGTCACTCCCCATCCCTCCCTTCCCCTCACCCCTGGCAACCATTAATCTACTTTCTTTCTCTGTGAATTTGCTTGTTTCGGATATTCTGTGTAACCGGCCCCTTTCCATCTTCTGACCACTGGTAGACACACCACCGGCATCCTGAATCCAAGGAATCCTTTGCTTTTCCTTTCTGAAACCCATCTCATCACTTTCTGCTGTGTACTGGATTGCGCTTTGATCTGTGGGCACCACTGGTTGCCTTCACTTCTTTGGCCTTCCCTGTAGTCTTATGCCATCACACTTCAGTTGTTGAAGGCACAGCCCCAGGAGGCCCACCCCCAATAATTGTAACAATAAACCACATCTTCATTGAGTTGCTTTTGTGCACAAGGCACTCCCTGGGATTTATCAGTTAATCTGAATTGCCAACTCTGCCTCCTCTCTCTGCCGCTACAGGCTTTATTTCTGGTGGCTCCTGATTCTCCAGCCCTGAGCCCTCTGCCCAGTGCAGCCCTACGTCACAAACACCTTCCATATTTTCTGTGACACCTCCCTGCCTCTGAACACAGCCTGCCTCTCCATCCACCCACCAGTGAACGGAGCCCCAGATTTGCCTTGTTTCTGGATTATCACTGCTGTGAACTGCCATTCTTGTTTGAGTGAAGTTGGGGTCTGTTCAGCTGTGTCCGGTTTGTGTCTAGAGAGTCTATATTAGTTTCCTATTGCTGATGTAACAAGTTACCACAAACACAGTGGCTTAAAACAACCAAAAACTTATTATTTTACGTTTCTGGAGATCAGAAGTCTGAAATGGATCTCACCTGGCTAAAATCATGGTGCCAGCAGGGCTGCATTCCTTTTGGAGGCTCTAGAGGAGAATCCATTCCCTTGCCTATTTTGGCTTCAAGAGGCTGCCCACATTCCTAGGCTCATGGCCCCACATTGCTGTGACCTCTGTTTCCATCACCACGTCTCTTTCTCTGACTTTCCCGCCTCTTGTTTTTCACTTTACTTATGAGGACATTTGTGATTACACTAGACTCACTGGATAATTCAGGGTAATCTCCCCATCTCAAGGTCCTTAAGGAATCCCTGCAGCATATTTCATATAAATGGGATTATACAATATGTGGTCTTTTGTGACTGGCTTTAGAAGAGGCACAGGAGTGCCACCGCCCATGAGGACCCCGGAGACCAGGCTGAGAGGCAGCTGTCAGTCCTCTGAGGTGCTACTTGTAATGAATGGGGCCGGGTGCATTTCCAACTCTGCCACACTTCCTCAGTGGCTCTCCACGGGCCACCCCCTGAACCTTTCTAAAATGGGGACAGTGACCTGAGAGCAAGGTGAGGAGACTGGAGTAGGGCCGTGACAGTGCCGACCCTCCGTAGACATGGGTTTACTTCCTTCCTGAGGGGTGGTCAGGTGTAAGACCAAGCTAGAATTAGCTCTGCAGGTTTGAGTCTTCACCCCTCTGTGCCTCTTTCCTGTATAACGTAGATGGTGATGAGGGCCCCTGCTTGTGAGAAGTCAACGGTTAACGTGTAGAGAAAGGACAAACGAGATTGTCATTCCACCAGGGAGTGGCCTTCGTGAGCAGGATGGTCAGGTGGGCAGCTTTGCACGTGCTTGGCTGGCCAGGGGCAAAAGGGCAGTAGGTATGGGGGTCACAGGCTTTGGAATGGGGAAGACCCAAGGTTTTACGGCATCTGAGTGTCAGGAGAAAAGTTGACAAAATGTTTTGTGGAAGCAGTGTCCCAGAGGACACCTCAGGGGCGATTCATTCTTCCCACATAGCCAGAGGCTTTTCAAGTTCCCTTCCTCCTTACCAATTACTCTCAGTCTTTGTCTCATACCAAACTGTGGTGGGCAGGGAGCTACCCAGACCCCGCATGGCAGTCAGGGGAGCTGGGGGCACCAGCTGCAGGAGGCAGAGATTGAACTTCCCATCTCAGTCCTCTTGCCTTCACTCCTTGGGGCGGTGTCCCCGGTGGCTGTGGCCCAGTGACCTAGGAGTGCTGGTCTACAAACACAGTAACACACACATGCATGTTCTCAAATGCACACTCATACTCAGTCACATTCATCACACACACATTCACACACTCGTGCACCACGTATAACCACACAGACATTTACATACTCAGTGTCTCACATGTATTCATGCACACTTATACACAAGTAACACACATGCTCAGTCACACACATGGTTACACTCACAATCACACATTCGCTCACTCTCACATACTTTCATATACACACACTTTCATATACACACTCATACACACCCTCACATACACTTTCATACACGTTCACACACACTGTCACACATTCACTCACTCATACACAAGTAACACTCACATGGTCAGTCACACTCACACGCATTCATATAAATTTACACACATTTACTCACACTCTCACATACACTCATGTATAAACACACACACTACATTCACTTGCATGTTCCCCACGAGCTGGATGACCCCAGGCTCCCCGGGTGCTTTCCTGGCAGTGACAGCATCTGGTCTCCTCCCACAGAAGCCCCGAGAGTGTGGGGTTCAGGCCAGTTTTTTATGGCAGCGGGCCGTGGGGGAGAATCCCAGAGGTGCCCAGAGTGTTTGTGGAATGGATTTGGGACCCTGGGGCAGCTGCTGGGCCCTCTACGCAGAGGCTGAGTGGGCAGGGGAGCCTGCTTCTGTGGGAGTGTATGCTCACACGTGTACACGTTTGTGTGTGTGTCCGTATGTGTGTATCTAGCTATCTGTGTTTTGTAGAACAGCTTTATTGAGATATAATTCACATACCATAAAATTCATTCTTTAAAAGTGTAAAATTCAGTGATTTTAGTATGTTCAAGAGGTTATGCAACCATTATCACTATCTAATTCCAGGGCCATCTTCATCACACCGAAAGGAAACCCCATAGCCATTAGCAGTCACTCCCCATTCCCTCTCCCGTTAGCCCCTGGCAACCAGTGATCTCTATGGATTTGCCTATTCTGGATATTTTATATAAATGGAATTGTACAATACGTGGCATTTTGCGGCTGGCTTCTTTGACTTGGCATGTTTTCAAGATTCATCCATGTTGTAGCATGTGTCAGTACTTCATTCCTTTTTATGGCCAAACAATATTCATTCTATGGGTATACTACATAAGTTTACAGATGTTTGGGCTGTTTCCACTGTCTGGCTACTATGAATAATGCTGCTATGAGGTTTGTTTACAAGACTTTGTGAATATGTTTTCAATTCTCTTGGGTATATACCTAGAACGCGAATTGCTGAGTCATATAGGAACTCTATGTTTAGCATTTTAAAGAACTGCCAGACTGTATTCCATAGTGGCTACACCATTTTACATTCCCACCACAATGTGACGGTTCCAATTTCTCCACATCCTCACCAACACTTGTTACTGTCTTTTTGATATTTGCTATCCCAATATGTGTTCAGTATTCTCATTGTGGTTTTGATTTGCATTTCCCTAATTATTTACTATATTTTTACATAAATAATGTGCGACATCTACGTTTGTTTGCCAACCCCCCCCCATCCCCCCAGGTATTTTTGTAAGTATGCTAATTTTTTTTTTACAGCTACATGTAAAGCATCAGCCCCTGGGAGGGAACTGAGAGTCCAGCTGGGGAGTAGGAAGGAGGAGGTAGATGCCACTGGGGCTGTCTGCAGGGCACAGCACAAGGCCAGCAGGAGTGGGACCCAAGGGTCCTGGAGTCAGACACAGGGCACTACCTCCAGCCTCAACTTCCCTTTCTGAAAATGGGATCTGTAATGTCACCAGCAGCATCCCCAGGGTGTCTCAGTTACTCATTGTGAGTTTACAAGGCCCCTGCACACCCCATGCTCCAGAAGAGGAATTAAAGGCTAGGAGAGGCCTGGTCTGAACTCTAATCTGATGGCTCCCAGCTCGGACAGGGCTCCAGCCTCTAACACATGCAGGCAGCCTGTTTCTGAGGTCGCAATTCCATCATTGTGAGATGGTATGGCCAGCACTCGACAAGGGCTCTGCTGTAACGCAGCCTCCTTGCATCAGCTGAACACAGGGAGGGCAAGAGACTCACTCCTGGTCACACAGCTGGTAGTGCGGGTTAAATCGTGGCCCTCCCAAAGAGATGTTCAATCCTAACACGATACCTGTGAATGTGACCTTATTTGGAAATAGGCTAGTTGCAGCTGTGATCATTTAGGACGAGGTCATACTACAGTAAAATGGACCCTAAATCTAATGACTGGTGTCTTTATAAGAAAAAGGAGACAGAGATTTGGGCACACAGACAGAGGGAAGAAGGCCATGTAAAGATAGAGGCAGAGAACGGAGGAATGCTGCCACAAGCCAAGAACACCTGGAGCTGAAAGAGGCAAGGAAGGATTTTCTCCTAGAGGAGCACAGCGCTGCCAACACCTTGATTTCGGACTTCTGGCTTCCAGAACTGTGACAGAATAAATTTATGTTGTTCTAAGCCATCTAATTTGTGGTAATGTGTTATGGTTGCGCTAGAAACTAGTACATAAGGGTTGCTGAAATGGGGCAAGCTTGTAAAATGCTTAAACGAGTAAACTAGTTGCCCCCAAGTCAATTCTGACTCATGGCAACCCCGTGTGTACAAAGCAAAATTGCTCCATAGGGTTTTCAAGGCTGTGACCTTTCAGGAGCAGATCACCAGGCCTTTCTTCTGAAGAGCCTACTGGGTGGGTTCAAACTGCCAATCTTTTGCTTAGTAGTGAAGCACTCAACCATTTGCACCACCAGGGGACTCCTGTAAAGTAACTACAAAGTGCAAAATAAAGTCTTACGTTTACGTTGCCATCTCAATGGACTTTAGGGAGTCCTCACACTGAAGCTGAGGAACAATATGCAACTTTTTTTTTTTTTTAAAAGAGCCAGACTTTGTGACACTCATTTTGATGTATAAAACTTACTTTTTTTGGGAGAGAAGAAAACAAAACAAAACTCAAAACCTATTGCCTGAGTTAACAGGAGACACAGACAACTGAAAGAGCATCTTTTAAAAAATAGCTTCTTTTTAAAATTAACTTTTGCCTTGGTAAAAACTTAAACTGCGTTCCAGGCACTGCTGAGGAAGTCCACTCACACCTGCAGGCCTCTTCTGCCACCTGGTGGGCATCGCTGTGACCTGCATGATGGAGAAGAATTAAGGCGGTGGTTGTTGAGTGTCCTCGAGTGGATAGCGACTCTACAAGACAGAGCAGAACTGCCCTATAGGGTTTCCTAGGCTGCAGTCTTTACAGGAGTAGATCACCAGGTCTTTCCCCTGTAGAGCCACTGGGTGGGTATGAACCACCAACCTTTTGGTTAGCAGCTGGTGCTTAACCATTGCGACACCAGGGCTTCTTCCTCGAAGATTTCAGAGAAGCAACTCTGACATCTTCACGGAGGATGGTTCCTAAAGTGGAAGGGATATCCAAGACGCACTCCTCCTTTCTCACCTGACCAGGTAAGTGACCCAGCAGGGGCTGCGTTGCACCCAGCCCGCGTTCCTGACACGCACAGGGGCCTCCCCAAGACAGAGGACAGGACGCCGAGGAGAGACGAAGGCTTCTACCACAGTTTCGCAGGCTCCTACTTCACTCACCCACGAAAACAAGTTACTGAGGGTTTTCTGGTACTCGCTTTATTCGCAGTCTCCCCATGCAGTGAGTTCCCCGAAGCTGGGCTAGGAATCTACTTTGGCTGAAGGATCTGCCGCACTTGCGACACTCAAAAGGCTTCTCTCAAACCTGAACCCTCTGTTGTAGACCAACGGCCAGCCTCGCGGAAGGTTTTCTGACACGTGCCGCACGTGCCTCAGACCAAAGGCTTGGCGCCTGCGTGGAACCACTGGTACTGCATGAGTTGCGTGACGCGGCTGAAGGCCTTGCCACACGAAAGGCCGCTCACCAGTGTGCGCACGGTAGTGCTCAGTCAGGTGCGACAGCTGGATGTAGGCCTTGCCGCACTTGTTGCACTTGTACGGCTTCTCCCCAGAGAGCGTTCTCTGATGGAGGGCGAGGGACGAGCTCTGCATGAAGGCCTTCCTGCAGTCGCCGCAGACGTGGGGCTTCTCCTTGGTGTGGATGCGCTGGTGCTGCATGAGGAACTTGGCCTGGCTGAAGGCCTTGCCACATTCTTTGCAGGTGTAGAGCCACTCACCTGTGTGGTTTCACTGGTGCAGGACGAGGGCAGAGGAGTTGCTGAAAGGCTTCCTGCACTCGGTGCACCTGTAGGGCTTCTCACCAGTGTGCACCCGCTGGTGTTTGGCCAGGCATAAGCTCTGGCTGAAGGCGTGCCTGCACTCCACCCACACACGTAGGGCTTCTCGCCCGTGTGCACCCGCTGGTGCTTGCCGAGGGACGCGCTTTGGCTGAAGGCTTTGCCGCACTCGAGGCACGCGTACGGCTTCTCCCCGGTGTGGCAGCGCTGGTGCTCAGCCAGGGACGAGCTGACACTGAAAGCCTTGCAACACACGCCGCACTCATAGGGCCTCTCCCCGGTGTGGGTCCTGTGGTGGACGAGGAGAGCCGAGGAGCCAGCAAAGGCTTTGCCACACTCTTTGCAGGCAAACGGCTTCTCCCCGGTGTGGACTCGCCGGTGCTGCACCAGGTGGGTGCTCTGGCTGAAGGCGCGGCCACACTCGCTGCACGCGTAAGGCTTCTCCCCCGTGTGCACCCGCTGGTGTCTGGCGAGGGCCGAACTCTCGCGGAAGCGTTTGTCACAGATGCTGCACACATAAGGCTTCTCGCCGGTGTGGATCCGCCTGTGTTTGACAAGGGACGAGTTCTTGCTGAAGGCGCGTCTGCACTCGCGGCACACGTAGGGCTTCTCGCCTGTGTGGATCCGCTGGTGTTGAATGAGATGCGTGCTCTGGCTGAAGGCCTTCCCACACTCCTCACATGCGTAGGACTTCCTCCCCTCAGGAATCCTCTGAAAACTCAGGAGGCGCGTGTTCTTGCTGAAGGCATCGTCCCACCCACCACATGCCGCCGTACCCTCCTCAGTGTGGACTCCTTGTGGCTGACTAAGCTCTGGGAAACAGGCACAGGCTTTCCTACACATGCCCTCTCTTCTGCAGGGGCGACCCTGGTCTAGGCCTGACTCGAACACGAAGCCCTTTTTGTGGCCATGGTTCGCAGGAGCCTGGGCCCCCGCTGGACGGGCCTGATGCTTCATGAGGAAAGGGCTTCGGGGGAAACTTCTTGCAACACTCTGCTGGGGGCTCTTCTTGTGTTGGCTGCAGTGCCGCCGTCTCTCCACGGCCCAGCCGTCCAGCTCTGGGACATTTCTCAACATGGTGTACCAGAAATCCTGCCCTTGCAGTCCCGCTGTCAGCCACCTGCGAGGTGACGCGTCTTCATCTGGAGGAGGTGGTGCAGCCCGGCTCTCCGGCTCTGAGTCTGAAAAACAAGCAACCAAGCTCAGGTCTCAACCTGAATGTGCCCTGCCCTCTGTGAAGGGACCGACAGAACTTAAGTCGTCAGAGCGGGACAGAACAAAATGCTGGCCAGGATCGTATGGATCTGAGGCTTCCAGACAGGGCTCTTACAGTTGATGAAGGGCCCAGGGTCTGAGGACAGAACAGTGGGTGTGTCTACTCCCCAAGACCACCTCCAGGTTCAAGGACTTGCTAGGACTCATGGGACTCACAGCTATGGTTTATCACAGCAAAAGGATACAAAGCAAGAGCAGCAAAGGGAAAAAGAGCATGGAGTGAAATCCAGAGGAAACCAGGTGTGAGTTTCCAAGAGTCCTCCCTCAGTGGAGTTGCACTTAATTCCGCCAGAAATAAGTTGACAAACGTGTGAAAGGTTGTCCACCAGGAGCACTCATCAGAGACTCAGTGCGTAAGGTTTTTATCGGGGGCTCCTCAGGTAGGCGCTAGAGCCCAGGTGGCGCAGTAGTTAACAGTTTGGCTGCTAACCAAAAAGGTCAGCAGTTCGAATCCACCAGCTGCTCCTTGTGTCTTTGGCTTTCTTCATTCTCCTTTGTTCTGGGTGGGATGGGACCAATAGGTGTATCATAGATGGCTGTTGGCAGGCTTTTAAGACCCCAGACGGTACTCGTCAAAGTGGGATGTTGAACATTTTCTTTATAAACTATGTTATGCCAGTTGACCTAGATGTCCCCTGAGACTATGGTCCCCAGGCCCCAGCCCCAGCTACTGCGTCCCTCAAAGTGTTTGAGTGTGTCTAGGAAACTTCTATGCTTTTGCCTCAGTCCAGTTGCACTGACTTCCCCTATATGGTGGTGTCCTTTCTTTCACTGAAGTTGACAACTGTCTGCTATCTAGTTACCATCACCCTTGTAACCAGCAAAGAATGCTTTTTTTCTGTGTGTAAACCTTTTCATGAATTCTTATAATAGTTGTCTCAGACAATATTTGTCCTTTCGTGACGCGCTTATTTCACTCAGCATAATGCCCTCCAGATTCATCCATGTGGTGAGATGTTTCGAGGATTCATCATTGTT